TCCATTGCAGCACTCCAGTTGTGAGAGTCATCCCACCATGTTTCCGTGATGGCAACTGTATCATAGTTTTCCTGCTGCACAACGGCTTCCAGCTCCTCCTGTTTGTTGCCCATGCTGCGTGCATTCGTAGATGCACTTCAGTTGGGCTATTGATCCCGCCACCTTTTTTGGGGGAGAAGCCCTAATTCCTACGTGACCGTTCTCAGGCGCTTCCGTGGTTTCTAATACATCAATAACCCTTGTGACTTTGCTGCTGCGTGGATCTCCATCCCCTACCTCCACTGAGATGGCAGACCAAAGGACCTCGCTAGCACACCATTCCTCAAATGTTGGCGTGCCGCCCCCAGGCTTATCTCTAGCGAGCCTGCTTTTATCCCTTTCCCCCTTCAAATCAGGGAGGATGCCCTGCTGTTGCCCTTGCTGTCCTCTTCTCCCTTGCCTCATCGCATGACCCCACCTGTCTCAGGGCCCCCCGAGCACCCAAGGAGCCCCCCAAGCATGCCTCGACTTGGCTTTGCACATATGCCTCCCCCAGCTAAACAGAGCCAAAGCCATTGTGTTTCATTAATGGGATTTCTTCATAACCTCTTCCCAAGCCTGCAGATTTTCTGAACACTGGTTTCTTTTTAAAGCTCAGGCTATTGAGGCAGAAGCCTATTCAGAAACTGGCCGGGAACAGCAGTCCACCCCTGGGCTGCAGACCCTGCGCTGACCTCGGAGTGTGGTTCCAGCCTGAGCCCCACCAGAAACATGAGCAGATGCTTAAGTGTTTTGCTGAATGGCAAATATTTTGATTTGAGATCAGTTAGCAAATATTGCAGGACTTATGTTATCTTTTGCTTATTTTGTGGGTTAATTATGACTTATTCCAGTATGCCTGCTCTGGGGAAATTTGGTTATTTTCTAATTTATTTGAAAAAATATGTTTCAACTAAGAATATGTGAACGTTATGTGAAATTGAAGACACTAGTACTAATCAGGAACGTGAAATTAGATTCATGTAACCCTGCTGAATTTGGATCAGATTTCTTACTGTTATTTCTTGAATTTACTCTAAAGAGTAAACTTTGTCTCTTTCCTTACTACAGGATTTCCTGCGAGATCTCTTTTTGCAGCATAACAAGACGGTTGCTGAGGTAAAGCTGGAAGAATATACTGATACCATGGTAAGAAAAGATAGTGTTAATATTGTTTAGATTATAGTACTGCCTAAAAATCTCCTTCAGGGTCAATGTCTATAGGGCCATAAATGCTCTCTTAAAAGGTGTATCTTCTCCAAGAGTTCCCTGTGGAAAGTTAGCACATGCTGCTGCTGTTTCTTTGCACTGCACTGGACATCAGCTGTGAATGGCATTTCATATATTTTTCCTTTGAGTTGAACTGTTTATGATGAGAAAATAGCTCGACTTTATGCCAAAGCAAACTGAGCCCTAAATCCATTTAAAAAAAGTAGTTGAGGTGCATCCTTCTTCAGGGTACATTCAGCCTCAGCCAGATCTCCAGCTGCTTCCCTCCCTCCCTCCTAGCAAATCCTTTTGCTCCCAAGACACGCAGGTGTCCGGCTCTTCTGCTCTGCAAAGCCCAGCAAGCCTTGCTGGCTCCCTGCTGCTTCCCTGAAAGGCTGGGAGGTTGAAAGCTTCAATTCTTCCCCTGCCTTATCACTATATAGCTTTTATCCTGCAATCAGCAACATAATATTTGGTGTAAGTTTAGCATCAGTCACCTGGATTTCAGAGCGACTTATTATATCTAACCATCTAAAAACAAGAAAAGGAAAAACAAAAGCTCATTTCTGATGTCATTCTCAATGGTATCATTTGAGTTCCATTAGCAGACATCTACCATTGCAATTTTCTAAATGATTTTCAGATGGGACTGCCTTGATTCTTGGAAGAAAATCTGTATTTGTACCTGAAGAACAGCTTGGTATGCAAGCAAACAAGGAGCTGCCCACATATTTTGCAGTACCATGTTATGTATGCATGATGCATCTGTGCCTAGAAATATGACCCTTTAGAGCAAAGTGAAAAACTGTACCATTACAGAAGGGTGTAGATTTTTTTCATATTTATAGGACAGTGAAGGGAGAGGAATGCAAGCTACGGAAATTATTTTCCAACTGGCAGAGCTTGAAAACAATAAAACCCCATAAAGTACAGCCAGAACAAAACCCGTCCTCGTAGTGCTTGCAGGTAGCAAATAGCTTTTATGCTGCTCCATTAAGTTTCCATCCCCAGTGGCTAATCTCCGATCAGGTGCTGGGGAATAGGTGATCTGAAGCTTGTAGACATTGGGCGGTTCATTTACTTCAACTTCTCTCCCCTTCCAATAATTTCCCAAGAAAGATCTGCGATTTCTGCTGCCCCAATGCAGCTAGATATCAATGCAGCCCAGGGCTGACAGCCAGGAGGTCTGGTTTCTATTCCCATGTTTTTTTATAGATTGGCTTTGTATCTTTGGAGAGGCAGTTTAGTCTCTATGCTACAGGGTAAGATTTGATCTGGGAAAAGGGACGTTTTGTGTATCTGGGGAAATCCATGATCTGAAATGCAAATCTGGCTCGTGAGGACAAAAGTTTGCAAAGCCGCAGTGCAAAAAGAATCAGGATGTTAATGGTTATTAGAAAATGAGGATATGGCAGATGATTTTTTTTTCCTTGTGATTCTTTGCTATAAACTGAAGATCAAGGATGTTTATGAACACACCTGATCCCAAGAGCTAAGGCAGGGTGTGAAATTGCAACAGGTGTAATCTTACCCTGTGACATCCTGTAGAAAAATAGAGGATATGAATTCTGTACCTCACAGCAAAGTATCCATGTGGACAGCATCTCTATAGTAGCTGCATGAAGTGATTGCATGGGAACTTATCTGAAGTAGGAGGACAAAATTACAAGGAGGGAAGAAAGGTTCAGTCTTACATTTGCAGTGCTGGATTAAAAAGAGAGAAGTGACTCAAGGAGCCAAGAGCAAAGGTGTGATGTCAAGGCCCAGGCAATGAGAGCCCTTTGCTTTCTCTCTCTGCTTTCCACGTGGAGTGGGGAGCTGCTGAAGTGCAGAGTCCCAATGGACTGTGCCACCATCACCACTGTCTGGGAAAACAGGGGGATAATGGCCCTTACATTTCATTCCTGAGGCTTTCACAGACTTTCTGTTGTATTGTTAGCAACCAGCAGCACCAATCCCTTTACTGCAGAGTGGAAATACTTATATTTCTCTATTACTTTGCTCTCACCCTTTTCTCCGTTTAGAGCACAAGGTCTTCGGGACAAGGACCTGTTTCTGCTGCACACAGCTATAGGGTCTCTCAAGGTGGCCCATCTATCCTACTCAGGGCTTTCAAGTGCCACTGTAATAACATTCATTTGAAATAAGCTGTGTCCCAGGGAACTGTCTCCGTAGGACTTTACAGATCTCTGCCCTCTTTTCTGTACATCCACAGCTGGCTGCACACATCTTAAGCAGCTACTGATATACTGAATGGATCGTAGAGCCTTCTGGAGATAGGCATAAAGGGGAAAAGATAGAAACTATCATTTTAAAGAAGCTAGCCCAGGCATGAGAAAAAAAAGAAAAAAAGCAATTTATGATTCTGTGCTGGGTATTTGCAGCTTTAGCTTGTGAGAGGTGTGAGCAGATACCATACCGACCAGGGCATGCTAAATACTTGCCACTTACTTATGCTGCTATGAATGATCTTACACCACATTAAAAAAAAGCTGGGAAAAGGGAGAAAGTATTTCTTTTGGAAGAGATTGGTTGTCTCCAGAAAGGAACATCACTTTATCAGGTTGTTTAGAAGCCATTTCTTAAGAGGCTATTCTGTTTCCTTGCGACCTTGACATCCTCTCTTCAGAGAACACTAATATAGGTGAGGGATTTGATGAACAAGTGATGAACCCTTGGAAAGAAAGCAGGTAGTGAATGCATTGGCATTGCACAAGCCTCGTGAGTCTGCTAAATCAAATCTTAAAGAGCACTAAAGCCACTGGGGAAAGTCACAAAAGAAGAACATTTGAATTCTCAGGACTCTTCGTGAGGGAATTAAAGTAGCAACCCTGTGCTGAGGAAGCCCCTTTGCAGGCAGAGTTCTTGTTAGTTTTCGTGCCTACATATATATATATGTTTGTATTAATAGTCATTAAGTGTGTATTAATATTTATTTACATGAACCCACTTGCATGAGAAGATACATTAGTCATGTGCAGTTCTGAACCCTTGAAAACAGTCTGCGGGTTTGTCGTCTTCCCGTGGGCGTAGACCAGGAGCTGTTGGCAGAGAGCAGGTGCTCGGAGGCAGAAGCGAAGCCTTATATTGCTCTGAGCCTCTCTGGGCCATGAGAAGATGCCCCAGGGGTCCTGCAATGTGTGCTTCAGGAGACAGGGTGGGCAACGGAGGTTTTTAAGAGCATGGTGAAAATATTCTGCCTTCCTGAAGTAACACAAGCTGGAGGAATGAAAGCTTGTCCCCTTACTGCTTCATGATGAGAAGGAGGCTGTGGAAGATGACAGCAGTACTAACAACCTTTCCCAATCCCTCCCCACCTCCCCTCAGCCCCCAGAGTCAAGCTATTACTAGGCTTCTGGGTCCTGGTGAAGTTTCAGCCCATGAACACCCAGCTCACGCGTGCATTTGACAACATTTTGCCATGAGTGACAGCTTCCATACCTGTGCATGCACGTAGCTGTGTACTTAAGCAAAATATTGTAAATGAATATGAACCAGATTTAAGACATAGTTTCTGATGAAATTAAGTATTGATCCTTTTTTCTTCTGTAAGAACAAAATTCTCACTCAGCTTTTCCATCTTGGCATTTGTTATTACCTTAGTCATAGGAACACTGATGGTTCATAGCTTCCCAGATAGCAGCACGCTACTTCTAGTTTGTAATCCCAATGTCTGCAAGCCACGTGCAGGGAAAGCTCATTACTGAGGCAAACTTCAGCAAATTAAGTTATATATGCTGCTGAAACAGTCGCACATGCAACACTGACATTCACTTTTTGCATTGCCTTATGTTGATAATGTCAGACTGAGCACAAATATGTCCTTTAATTTGAGCATTATTACTTTTTAGCAAAATGTAAAGGATAACCCCCCCGCAAGCCAGCATACCGTCTTTGCCCACCACAAGCTAAAATTCTAGAGAGGCAATAATGTCAGTGCAGAGACTAACAATTCAACAAGCATTGGTCATGAACTACAGCATTTGAAAGTCAGTGGATGGAGGTGGCTGAGGATGAAATCTTAGCCCCAGAGAAGTCAATATAGAAGTCCTCCCAGCTGTAATGATGCCAGGGTTTTGTTGTGCTTATCTGCAAAGGTTCTCCTGGGGACTGAGCTATATGTCCCAAGCACGCGAGCCTGCAGCTGACTAGCTGAGGGCTCCTCGCCTTCTCAGTGCAAAGGGGAACAGGTTGATTTCTCCCTGAAGATGGTCTGTGTCCATGAGTATGCGTTGTGGACTACCTTTAGGGTACATTGGGGGGGATTTCTGATGCTTTTGTGGCTGCTGCCTGTCCCCTCTGTGAGGACAATTCTAGAGGCTCAACGTGGTCACTTCTTCGGCTGTGAAAACCTGTCTGTCTGTCTGTCTGTGCTCAGTGCCAATGCCAGTGTACTTATGTAGGGAAATAGAAGTCAGAGCACAGAAAATCCAGGTGATTGAGCCCCTTAACACCTTACTGGCCAAGCTAGCTTATCTGTGTTAATGAAGTCTCTTATGAACACCAAAGAAATGGTGTAATAATGGAAAGACAAATCTTTGTTGTATTGACAAAAGCCTAAACACTATGGGAGCCTTGCCATCCCCAGGGAGCTTCCTCCTGGCTTTGGGTGGGTGCAATTCCTCTCGTTGCTTTGCTGTGTGTGACAAAGAGAGGACCCACACAGCTGATGAACACAATGGAGGGAAATCTGCCTCCCATGTCCCTTCTAGACTTAATCCCGGCAGTGCTGTCACCTCCAGTTTTGCGCCACACTTGCTGTAGCATAAGCCAGGGGAAGCAGAAAATCCCATTTAAGCTCAAACTTCATTTCTGAAGATCAAAACCAACAGAACTCAGGAGCCTGCAGGCTTTTGAAAACCCCAGCAGATAACGCCTTGGTCTTTTAGGAACCAAAACACTCTTAGAAATCCTGCACTAAACGATTCATCTAGATTACACAGGCAATCTGGTTGGGCAGAGCACTGAGCTTTTGTCCTGAGGGTAACTTGCTGGGCACAGGGCCCTCTTGTCGCTCTGCAAAAGCCTTTGTGCCCCCATCCTTCCCTAAGGAAAGAAGCCATAGGCAGTCCTGCAGCTTGGGCACATGCCTGTCTTTATACACCCTCAATAACTTTTGCACTCACTGGCCACTTTTAGTTACAGCTGTCAGGTATAGATGCATATAGATGTATATAGTTGTGAGAGTAGGAGGTCAGGCAAGAGCCAACTCTTCCTGTGTCCCACCTGAGGGATAAAACACTTTATTACACACAGAGAACCAGAACCAGAGAAGGTTTAAAAGCAGGCTTTAGTGACTCCACTGATCACAGAACTATTTATTCTGGTTGTTTACGTCTCTCCTTATCTCTGTCATGGAAAATAATTCAGATTTATAATCTTATATTGCTCTTCAAAGCACACGTGTGTTTGTCATATCCTGGCGTTTCAGTAGCCTTCTTTACAACACCAGACTGGGAAAGCAGAGATATTTCCTTTGCTGAATTCAAAGCCAATGGCAGTTTTGATTTTGCACTTAAAAAAACGAGATGTAACAACGCTTATTTTGCAAACCCAGCTCTTACTTATGCTCTGTCTGCCTCAGAGCGCATGGACTACATTCAAACAAGCAGAACTAAGACTTCCCTGGTGGACTGCCATTAAAATGTCAGTGAATTAATTTGTGCAAACACTTTAAAACACGGGGTAGCTTGACAGTAAAATAAATGCATCATTTTATAAAGCATACTGCTGGATGCAACAAAGCTTTTAGTAAAAGTGAGTGCTATTTAAACATGCCAGACCTTATCCTTAACCACATTGAGATGTTTCATATCAGCCTGGCAGCATAAATATAGCTTTCAAGAGTGTAAACTGAAAATCCATCAAGTTTAACATACCAAGATGGTGTGTAAAGGCAAAAGTTTAAATTAGAAACCATCTCATAATGATTCCAAATATCTACTTCTCCCATGATGTACCCTTAGTCATATGGGGTGGGTACCCTCTGTCATTCTTTGTGTACTTATGTACACAATTAGCAGATCAGTTCAATGCTTGAAATTTGAAAGTTTAATTAATAAACATTTTCCCAGGCTTTTCCTGTGTAATGCAGCCCAAGATTGCCATGTAGTGGGTATGCATGAGCTCCAGTTGTCCAGATAATAGGATTAGGTCTATCTTATTAGCTGTGGTACCTGAACTAATTCAGTGAACACTATTCCATCTTCCCTATATGTTTTCCATCTTTCATGTGGAAGTCACTAGACAAGAGTTAGCTCGGCCTAGCTCTTCCAGACAGACTTTTCTTTCTGTTGACTGGTATGGACAATCAAAATATTGCATATGTTTGAAAATTTTATTCAGGTTACTTGTTGCAGAAAAAGGCGAAACAATTTGAAAACACAAAGGTTCTCTCTTGGTATTGTAGAAGCAGAGCTGAGTGAAGGAGGTCAGAGAGGGGAGCTGGTTAGCTGTAAGTAGATATGGTCAACCACTGAAAGTTTAATGTTAAGCTCAAAGATAGGGTGCAAACGAAGCAAATTGACTGGGTATGTTGCTTTTCATTAAGCGTTCCGCTAAGGAAAGTATTATCTCTGCAGTTAAATGTGTTTTAATGGGGTCTGCGCTACTGCTGGAATATTGTAAAGGTTTCAGAAATGGATAGAGTTGAAAACCACCGGCTCAGAAAATTGGTAATGAAGCAGAAAGACTTTCACATCTAAACAATCACCTCTGATCTAGCCTGTTTCATTAAGGGTGCACAAAGCTCTTCAGCTTCCTGGCTATTTGCGACTTCTGAAACTGAAAAAATGCTGCACCCACGAAGTAGAGCAGATGCAGGGCAGGTGGGACGCTCAAAGTCCCAAGACAAGAACAGCTACGCTAGGGTGCTTATTTATTTATTCTGCAGAAAAGGAGATGAGACTTGAGATGTTTCACTGAAAAAGGGACTCGTGGCTTATCTCAGACAGGCCCGCGTGAAATGAAAAGTGGGCCCCAGGTCTGCCTCTTGGATTGGGAACTGCCAGGCCTGACCTGGTCCCAGAAGCTGCCACCATGGTCAGCATTTATAGGTGTTTATCAGCGAGCTTGTACGGGGGTCAGGACCTCGTGGTCATGGAGCTGAACTTCTCCCAAAAGCTCTGTGTGTTTGCTTTCCTGAGGCATCGCAGAGAGAAAAATATATCTGAATCTGAAGTCTAGGCTGAAACACTGGCTTTTAGTCTCAAGGGAGTAATTCTGAGATGCACAGAGAATGGGAGAAAATAAAAAACACTTTCAGGAACTCGCGAAAGTGTAGGGGAATCTGGGTGAGGTTCAAAGAGTGCTAAAGGCGGTAAGTTTTAGTGTGTTTTGGTAAGGACATTGTATCTTTGCGTGAAGAAAAGACTAGCGCAGTGCCTTCAGCCAGAGCTGCCCTGCCCCGGGCAGCAGAGTCCCTGAGAGCTTCACCCCGCGCTTCCCACCAAACACTGTCCTCTCACACCACGCCAGGCACGCCGCTTTATGGTGACTTCTTACAGACCGTGTGGGTAACTAATGCTCCTCGGTGGCCTAAACAGAGGGATTTAGAGTGACATCTTCAAAAGCACGTAAGTTACTGTAGAGCCTAGGGACTATGGTATTCCCACCACCCAAATGCTGGCTAAATAGGGGTTGTCTCCACAAGTTTCCTTTACGAAGCATTTTTCAGAGTAATAGAGTAAGCTGGATGTTGCAAAGTCACCTGCGGTGGAGAGTCTGCAAAAGTGAGCCAGTAAGGGTATCTCCCTCTCTCCTCACACAACAAACAAAACCAGGTTAGGCACCGATGTCCCATTTGGAGAGAGGCTTTTAAAATCTTATCTGGGATGATTTATTTCTAGAAGGAGCATTAACCATTTTCTATTGCCTGCAGAATAACTCCTTTATCAGCCAGGAACTGAGAGCTTGGGTTTTTCTCTCTGATGGCAGTGGGAAGCTGTCGTTGCAAGGACATTTCTTTTCTCCAGCTGCACCAGTGAAGGCAGCTCCCGTTCCCATCCCTGCCTCCAGCCTTGTCCCGTTGTGGCCCCAGCAGAGACCAGGGAAAGGTCCCATACTGCAGTAGGATAACTGAGGGGGCAGAAGGCAGGATGGAAGAAGTTAGACAAGCTGGAGGGACAACTTGGACTGACGCAGCGTGAGAGAAGTCCTCAGGACGGCTCGGCAGCTTTATTCATCTCTCCAGCTCTAGGGTGAAGGAAGATTCAGAGGCCTTTCTTCTGTCATTCAGTGGCTCTGCACAGAGCGCATGCTCGCCAGAGGCCAGTGAAACAGGAAAGCGGCTTTTCTTGTACCACTGAACACCTGCATGGCTCTCAGGATGTGATTTTTTTCCTAAGATCTTAGTATAAGCCTTCAATTGTTCATAGGAGTTTTATATAGTCTTTAAGTGGAAGGAGAAGTGAGCCCATACCGATTTCTTGTTTCTTGTACCACTGAACACCTGCATGGCTCTCAGGATGTGATTTTTCCTAAGATCTTAGTATAAGCCTTCAATTGTTCATAGGAGTTTTATACTGTCTTTCAGTGGAAGGAGAAGTGAGCCCATACCAAGTGCTCTTCAAAAATCCTATCCAAACCTTAGTAGTGTAAATCACGCAGAATAATTAACGGAATAAAATCCTGTTGCAGAGTCTTATCTAAACCCAGTGCAATAAAGGGTTACCATAGGCTCACCATGCTCAGTGTAGATGCCTGCCCTCGAGCAAGGGGCAGGCAGGAGGCAGTGCTGACAAAATAGGTGTCGTATTTATGCAAGGGCTCCCTGTGAAATTGCAGCTCTCCAAATAATATCTCTCCTCATGCACATGTCAGGCTCTGCCTCAGTTTCACTGCTGGGAGGTGCTCGGGACCTGCCGCTGGCTCTCCCCAGAGCTCCCGCATGGTCAGGCTGTGTCATAGAGGATGGTCCTCTCCCTCTAAGCCTCCTGAGATGGGGACTGGTATGGGCCTTCTCCAGCAGGTGTGCAATTAATTACACCAAAGATTTGTAGTGACCTGGTTACTTATAACCATTAAATAAGCAAATAAGATTCATGAAGGTAAGATTAAAGCATATTCCATTACTGAGTATCTGACAAAGAATGGCAACCCATCTTAGTAAAATATTAATCTTTCCCCCCTTACAATGTGGGGGGGGAAATACATTTTTTCTAGAACTTTGAGCCATGAGTTATTCAGGTTTGCAACCCATTAAACATCTCCCCCTCTTTCCCTGTAACAGACTCATATTTGTGCCTTGCAGAGAAACACAGTACCACATACGGTAAATAAATAAATAATATCTGGTGGTGACTCGTTGAAAAGACCGTATTAAGGAAAAGATAATATTAAGGAAAGGCTAACATTTGTATTCACACAGATTAACCTCTTGATGTTGGCAGCCTGAATCTCCTTCCCAGTCTTAGCGCTTCCCAACGGCAGGCTTTGAGCCAAGCAAAGCCCATCGGATTTAGCAGCGTAAAACCCCAACTTGAGTGTCTATCGGAAGGCGACATTTGATTTGCGCCCCAGCCACTCAGTAGCCACAGCAACAGTCAAAGATAAGGATGGAGTTGGGCTGGAAGTGCTTAGAAGTCCCCCCCTTTTTTTGGCATTTTTTTCAGGGGCCACGGCAAAGCCCCTGTTTAGTTTCTTAAGGTGTTTGCTGGAGACCTGTCTTTATCCCTGTGTAAGGTGGAAAGGGAGTGGTGCTGGTATTTGATTGCTTGGGTTGTCGCTGTCAGAAAGCAGGAGGGTTTTGCTATGCTTTTGTGCCACCCTTGCACTTGGTGCTAGCAGAGGACGCCATGCTGCCTGGGGCTTGGGCAAGCACCCCGAGCAAGCAGAGGTGAGGGCACAGGGCAGAGTAAAATGGATATTGGCTTTTTTGTATGTGTGTTCTCCTCATGGCCTATCTATTTTATCTCTGTCTCCTTGATTTTTAGATGAAAATCTTTGACAAAAACAAAGATGGACGGCTGGACCTGAATGACCTGGCAAGGTAGGCTTTAATAATATTGATGGGGCTTTTCAGCTTGCAATGGCAGATCCAGGCAAGGTGATGATCTCCCTCTGAGGACATGCATTTGAATCCTATCTCCTTTCAGATTAAATCAGGTACTCTGATATAGGTATCCCAGGTCTCTAATGCATGATCCTCATCACAATTAGTCTGAGAACCTAGAGCCCGTGACATTGAGCAATGCCAGGACCTGTTTGTGCATCACCAACACGCTCTGGCATGATCCGTGCTGCCTCTGTGGTGCTCCTCAGGAGGTGATGAAGCAGCCAATGGCACCATTTCTCCAGAAGAAGGATGGCAATCCCCTTCAGCTTTTATCAGTGAAAAAGGTTTTTTTTTATCAGAGAAAAGCTTTTATCAGTGCTGTGAGGGGCTTTTAGGAGGGAGGAGGGGAAAGGAGAGGAATTTGGCCAGTCACGGTGCTCAGGCCAGTCCTTTGTCCTTTATTTTACTTTGTCCTTTATTTTTACAACCACCAATTCTCCCTCCAACAGAGAGTGATAAATTACTTACCTTTAATGCAGCACAGCAATCCAGTTACGAGGAATGACTGTCTGGTAGCTCTCACTTCAGAGGCTGACCACCTCCATTGCGCTGGACCACCAGAAATGCTCGGGGAGAAGCAATGGTGCTAAGAAACATGTTTGCAGTGAGCCAAAGGGCACCCGCCATTCCCCATCAGGCAGGGAGGGAGGCATGTGTTCATGTAACAGCCCGCCATAAATAACCCTGCAGGCGATTTTCTTTTTTAAAGGCCTATAATCTAAAATCTCTTTGCTTTATGAACCAGAAGAGTTCGGAATAGTTTGTGTGCAGATGGTAAAGCGGTAAGATCGTAATTTAAATCTCTCCATTCAGGATTCTGGCGCTCCAGGAGAATTTCCTTCTTCAATTTAAAATGGATGTAAGTAGCACTCTTTTTTGATGCATCGATCCCGTCTCTCTCAGCTAAGATAACCTGGGCCCCAAACTTGAATCTTTTTATTTTTTCTTTTTCATTTGCTTGTCCTCTCCACAAATAGGCTTGCAGCACGGAAGAAAGGAGGAGAGATTTTGAGAAGATCTTTGCACACTACGACGTTGTGAGTGCCAGAGGCCATTCCCTTGCGGTCTTTAAATGACACAGATTTAACATACGCTGCTCAAACTTCTTCCTCCCGGTGGGTGCTGTGCGGGTCACTCAGGAGCAGCAGCTGTGCCGGAGCCCATGGGCCAGAGAGGCCCAGGTGCCAGGCTGGGGGGTAAGGTGGGGACAAAGGGGAGCGATGCTCAGAGACCTTGTGGCAAAGGACCCATTTTGACTTTCTCCATCGCCATGGCCAGCACTGCTGCATTAGCAGTATCTCCCTGCAGGAGACACAAGGGATGTAGAGGAGGTGGTGGCTTTAGCTCTCGCAGTCTCTGGCAGTTTGGGACCTGCATCACCACCACCTTGAAAAATAAAACCCCTTCCAGTGCTGAACCAAGCGTTATTTAGGGAGTGTGGCTCAGGACAGACATGACCACCTAACTGCCTGTTAGAAATCAGCAATTCAGTGCCACTGCCCTGACAGTCTCACAACTCCCTCAGGGTGGTGGCCAGCAAGCCTCACAAAATGGTTGGAGATGTTGCTCCCGTTTGAGGGGAAGATATGGTTTGGGAAAAAGGAAGGGATCTTAGATATTAGATATTAGGAAGAAATTCTTCACCGTGAGGGTGGTGAGACACTGGAACAGGTTGCCCGGAGAAGTTGTGGATGCCCCCTCCCTGGAAGTGTTCAAGGTCAAGTTGGATGGGGCTTTGAGCAACCTGATCTAGTGGAAGGTGTCCCTGCCCATGGCAGGGGGGTTGGAACTAGATGATCTTTAAGGTCCCTTCCAACCCAAACCATTCTATGATTCTATGATCTTTATGCTATAAAGCTCGGTGACCGGGTGGACCTACTGACCAGTAAACATTGTTGTGTTTTTGACTTACTGGAGCATTTTGATGTTTCTTCCATCTTTCAGAGTAAAACGGGAGCTCTTGAAGGCCCAGAAGTGGATGGGTTTGTCAAAGACATGATGGAACTGGTCAAGGTAGCTTCATGGCTCTTTCTATTTATTAATACCCTGTATTTCCAAGAAGGTGGTGATTGTTTTGGTAAAGTTATGTAAATAGAGAGGCTACTGAGAAGGTAGAGTCAAATTTCACTTTGGTGAGTAGCAGAAATGAATGTCATGGTCTCAGCATAAACACTGTAGAGCATTTCACCATATCACAGAAATTCTGCCTGACAAATTAATACACCTTCACTCAGCAACTGTATTTAAGAAAAGTCCATTCTAGCTCGTATTCTGAATTAGGCAGATGTTACAGCATCACAAACTGATTGATGTGGATCAGTCATCAGAAGTTCTTTCTTCTGTTTTCACTGTGAATATGGTCCTCACCAGCATGACCTCATGGTTCATGGGGCTACACTTGAAATTTACTTGAGCTCTACCTGTAATCAAGAATACCATGCCCACAGTGTCACCAGTTTCGTACAGACAGCAGAGTCCACCTGCATTGGATTACCTTGAGTTTCCAGATGCAGTCCAGGATATAGTTTTTGATCCAAATATAGTCTGGTCTGTGGCTCCCTCTGAGCCTGAGCTGTTGCATTTCCACATGATGTGACCTGACACAGGGATGTCTGCGCTCCCATGTCCATTTAGCGGAGAGCAGAGACTGCAGCTGCATGCTGATGGCTGCGTGTGTGTGTACATTATGGCCATGTGGTGTGTAGGGAAGGGTGTGAGGACAGGCCCGATGTTGGATTTGTGCTCTGTGCATGTGTGTCCAAAGGAGCAAAGGTTGTACTTTCCCTAAGGGCCTTCATCAGCATTGTCCTTGGGCACCACAAGCTGTGCGTGTGAATTTGATCTCCTCCTGAGAAAGCGGGAAGCAGAGGAAGCGGTACAGCATTAGGAGCATACAGAGACAGTGTAGCCTGTAAAGTGTGCCTTTAGCATTCATTTGATCCACTAAAGGTATTTTTAAATTGCTGGCTAGCCTGCAAAATAGTAGCCTGCTGACCGAAATGCCACATCACTCCTCGTGTAGCAGGTTTGAGAGAGGAAACCAGATGAAAGCACAGGTCCAGTAGCGCAGCGATCTGTATTGCACAACTTTCTGCAGACTTTTGTTTGATACGGATCAGATACTGATGGCCTCGACTAAGCACAGAAATCATGTTGCATTTCCTTGCAGTTACTCACAGTCCCATACCTCTTCTGTTTTTGCAGGGCATCCTTTCCCCATTCTCTGTTCACTTCCCCACCTCGTATGAGCTGATGTGGGGTCAGGCCGTTTGGTTGCTCCTCCTTGGGTGGATTTCCCTGCTGCTGCACGGCCTGCTGCTTTACAGGGCTGGGGAAATCCAGAGCCGTTTTCTCTCTCAGCACCGTTTTTCTCTTTTGCCTGCAGCCCAGCATTAGCGGGGTGGACCTGGACAAGTTCCGCCAGATCCTGCTCAACCACTGCGATGTGAACAAGGACGGGAAAATTCAGAAATCCGAACTGGCTTTGTGTCTTGGGCTTAAAATGAACCCATAGCTGGGAGAGCGCTCGTGGTTGTGTTTCCCTTGTGAGATTTGCCTGCTGCTCCTCGTAGAAGTGTGTCTGTGCTGCCGTGTGAGCGGTGGGGACCAGGGGCAGGCACCACGCTGCCGGGCTGGAGAGCGGCTGGACGAAGACACGGCAGAGTGGGATCCCCATGGAGGGCCTCCCCGCTCTGCCACTCCCTTTGTGGTGTTCGCTCGCTGCCACCGCTTGTGGGTCCCCCTAGCAATGTCTCTGCCCACGAGCACACCAGCAGCTCAGAAAAGAGGTTGCTGTTCTTCTCCATCCCCCATGAAACACTGTCCTGCCCGTCCCCTAGGATAGGGACAAGCATCTCCTTAAAAACATCCCGTCAGTGCTCTCAGAGTGCAGCTACTAGGTGTTTCTGATGGTCGCCTTATGTGTGAAGTCATTACTTTGGTGAGCGTCATGCTTTGTTTGTGCATTTAAAATATTGGATGGATGACAGTGTATTTGTGCAGAAATAAAAAATGGCAGTTACAGAAATTCACTAAGATTGGAGTTTATGTGTTATGTGCAGAAAGCCATCTGCCGCAGGCTGGCAGACCATACGTAGTAGCCATTGCATGTAAAACGCATCAAATGGCAAGAGGTTTTGTGATGCCTATCAGCTGTGGTGTTTAAATCTGCCAGGAAATGAAACACGGTAGATCCTTCTCACGGGGAAACCACACACACCAGGAAATAATATCACCTCCAGGATGAAGCCACGGAGTAACATCACTTCTGGAGAAAGCCTTTCTTCCGACCCAAACTGAAATAATATACAAGGTTTCCATAAACTGAAAAACTGGAAGGACAGAAGCCTAATGGGAGCAAAGCTCTTAAGCACATGCTTATTTTTTTAAATCCGTAAGAGTTAGTAAATACTTGTAACCTTTACTGAACTTAAAGCTTCCCATCACTCCCGGGCCATGAGTGTAATCCTGGAGCCTAGTGGCAGCAGCATCGTTTGTGCCACCTATTTCCCTATTCCAAAGGCTTTGACTGCATATTCAGAAAGTGCCACAACTATGCTATCATGCCCAAATAATTCTTAATTTCCAACGAGAAAACTGCGGAGGAAGGATTGTTGGCAAAACTCCCGCACGCTTCAGCATTTCTGTCTCCTGCAGATGAGAGACCCAGATTTGACACTACAAGTGTCTTTCTGGTTATGTTCTTTGCACAAGGCAGTACATTGAAACACTCCCTTTATACTCGGTTTTATAAAAATTAATCAGAAGTTACCTTCAGTCAACAGAAATAGAGATGGAGATGCTGATTCAATAAAGCACTTAAGAACATACACAAGTTGAGAGATACGCTAATTTTCTATTTTCACTGATGATAAGCTCACAGACCAAACAAGTGCTAAGCGTGTGTTTCACCCCAGCATGGAACTAGGGCTTTAAACTCCCAAACTGCTTTTTATCACCCTGGCAGCAACACAAATCACAACCCAAATAACAGAGCTTTGCAATGGTTCAGAAAAACGATAAACAAGGAATCGGGCCTTAGCAGCAGCTCCCCAAGCCATCAGGGATCCACTTTCACTCATGGATGCTCGCTTCCATCTGAGGGAAGAGCTGTGGTCAGGAGTGCGTGACAACAGGTAGGAAGCCAGCAGAGAAATCCCACCACCACTGTTTATCAGACATGCTTCATCTCCATCCTGAAGAATTTGCAACAAATATAGCGGGGCACATCACCAACCATCTTTCCATCTTGCCTCCAATAGGATGTGACTTATCAGCGTAAATAATTATGCCTTTAAGTATATTCTTCTCTTTCTCTCTCTTCTTTCAGGCTTTATATTGTTCTCATTGTTATTATTATTTTCTTAAACGACATTTTCCATTACTTTGGACATGGGAGAATATTTCCATCTGTAGATATATGTTCTTTATGCTATTTGTATGTTTTGACGATAACAGGTCCATTCTGTTTTTCACCCCTGTTTAAGCCTTTTGGTATCAGTAGAACTTTTTCTCATTTATTAAAGTATAAATTCAAGAATATCTTGCCCTGCCTCACCAAAAATACATCAACTTTTAACCTAAAGTGAAAGTAATCTTTTAAAGAGCTCTTATTTCAAGAATTATACAACACTTCATCCATCTTTATTGAAACCTTATGCTTTTCACATCCTCTCCAGCCAATTTCTGACAGACACTAAGCAGTAATGAATTTGGTATGTTGGTGTCACAATGTGTTTTGCTTCTTTTGTAGAAAACTGTGATTTTTTTTTAATACTGAGTTTGCTGAAGCCTTCCTCTCTGCAAGTTCTCGCAGCTAGTTTTACTAGCTTGAAGTAAATGAGTGCATAGCCTTCAGTAAGTGAGTTTACAAGAGCATTTTACAAAACGTTAGCAAAATCTAATTGGGGATAGTAGATGAAAAGTTTACATACAGAACCCAGAAGAGGGTTTTTTTATGTTGGGTTTTTTTTTTCTTCTGTTTAGTTCTGTGTTCCCATGAGTATATTTTTTGTGTCCAGAGCAGCGACTAGAGAGCAGGAAAACAGGCATGCATGCTGCCTTGTTTGCAGGGACCGTAGGGGAGACCCGCATCCCAGTGGGACTCCAGCCCAAGTGAGCTGCAGGTCCCCTATAAGCAAAACAAAATGTCAGGAGATGCAGAGGGATTTGAGCCCACATTACAAAGGTCAGCAAGGCAATTATTAATGAGCCATGGTCTTACAACCCTCTAGCCTCTAAAAGTCAATGTTATTGCAGGAGGCGGGTATTTCAAGACTTCCCATGGAGAAGGCGTGTTCCTTGCTTGCAGAGATTTTTTTTTTTAATTATTATTTTCATTTTAATAATGAATGATCTGTAAGGCCCTTTGGTCTCAGGCACTGGTGTTTTCATCCCTTTAAGCTGCTATAGATATATAGACAGGCAATACATTTTGATGAAACATAGCTATTGGCCATTTTGCAAATTTGAAGCGTACTTTAATGTGCGGTGTGGAGTCTCTCATGTACCAAAACATGAGATACTATTTCAGATTTGAATGGTTACATGAAAATACCTGTTTTGTGTTAATTATATGAAAATATCTTGCCAACAAAAGCATTTACACATCATGATGCCTTCTGTGCTGTAAATACATTAAAGATATGTGAGGAAGGCTTGGGGCTGTTCGATCAGTGTATCCTCTGCCAACAAAATTTTGCAGGTATCACAATATTTAGGAGCCTGCATCTTGGTAACTAGAATTTGAAGGCAGAAAGCGAATGAAAATGTTTGCCAAGATATTTTCCCTTGGTATTTTCATGTTTTTCTCCAGGAAAACTGGGATTAAGGGATTCAGAGTTTTCTATTTCTTCATAGTATGCAAATTAACCAAAATCAATTTTAGCTGACTTATATCATCATATTTAACAGGTATATTTCCAAAAGACACTTAGCTACCACAGCATAGCGGTCAATATGCACAGTGCTCCCAAATGTGACATTTTAAGGTTGCTTTTTTGCCTGCCTTTGTTTAATTGGCAAACTGCTGGATCTGGAAATCAACGTGTGAATTTTCTCAAAGCAAAGCTGTTCCTTTGCCTCCCTTTTCGCTGCGAGTTATTGGAGATCATGCCCTGGACTTCTGTCACGCTCCCTGCTCGTCTTGGCCCTTCTCATTTTTGGCACTTGACATATTTTTTTTCTGGATGACTTGTCATGACAACTTTGTTCAGGAGACACTGCCTCTGACAGCTTCAGTTGACTGTGTAGAACTCATACCTGTGAAAAATGAACATTTATGGGGCTTTTTAACTCAAATCCATCCCTCATTTAATTTCATAGGTTTCACTGGAAATGATGTTACAGAGACACAAACTTTTCTCCCATCATTTTGAATCTCAACAAGCTGCTTGCTTATCCTGAGCCATCACCATGGAGATCTGCCACTGGAGACCCCCAATTTCCTGGGTCAGCCTCACAATCCCAAATTGCTCACGTGCCAGCTTGTCCCTTGGTCTGTCCAATTTTTTCCCCAGAATAATGAACCCAAATACACACGCTTTCCTCATTCCCCTGTCTGAACACACTCCAGCGGTCTCACATCACTGACACCCAAACTGGAACCAGATGAGATGTTTAGAAATCGTAACATTTAAGTTTCATCGGTGCTTTATTTTCAGATTTTCAGTAAAATAATTCTCTTCCTTCATTCTCACAATATTGCTTTAAATAACATGGGTGAAGCTGCCTGCACATCTTACAAAAACTGCTTTTTATTCCTACTGAAAACTAAGAGGTGAGCATCAGCCCAAAAGAAGGGCTCAGAGCATAGGAAACCAGCACAAAATTTTGATTAATCTGCTTTTCTGTTTGTGTGGCAAGAGAATAGTGTCAATATTAATGAAAACAATTGTGACTAAAAACTATCGGAGAATCATCTGCCACATTGTAATAGGAACCCATCACGAGAAACACCTTAATTACAGCTATTATATCTTAAAATGGCTGGGTAGCTCTTACATTAATCTGATTTGAAACAGAAAGTTGCCGTTATGTAGTGAGATGTTAAATGGGGCTTTGCTGTGTAATTACATGGGGTAAAGTAACTATGAAAGTCATTTTTGTATGAGGGCCACACTGACGGCTAATGAAAAGCTCTCATTTTCTGGCTCTTCATTGCACCTGTATTTTCAGTAATTCCACTGAGAATTGCATCTCATTTTAAGGAACATTTGCACATGGGAAAAGGGGTGGGGGGAAGAGAGCCAGTTACGACCGTAATGAGACAAAAATAAGGGAACCATTTGCCCAATGCCAAGAGACATCTACAGGGAGCTCCCACTGGGTCCCAGAGGTAAAACCACTTCCCTGCCCTCTCTCGCTTAGCTGGGCAGCACCAATTTTCACAAGCTCATCCCACGGTGACATGTCCTGCTGCTCATCTGCCCTATGCTCAGCCTTTATGCTGGCTTCAGGCATTGCCCTTCCTCTTGGGTTTGTTCCTTCACACTTGCTGTTCTCCTAAAAAAGGCTTTTCCCTGCCCTGCTGCTGTGCTGGAAACTTTGCACGGGTGATGGGAGAACTGGAGCAGATGTCTCTGCCCAGGAAAAATGGCTGGTGCG